CATTGGTACAGTGTCATGCCCCTGTCATCATCCTCACCACTCACATTACAGAGACAAAACTTTTCATAAATATCAGATTTAAGTTTTACTTCATTAATTAGCGAGAAAATTTCATGTCTTATGCAGTGCAATGAAAACAATAAATTACTATGAAAATTAAATAAATCCTTATTTAAAAATTGTTAAACAATTGAAATTTTGCCCAAGATTGTTTAATTTCCCGAAAATGAAATGAAGCAGTTATTTTGGTCATAAAATGTCAGACGTATGAGGTGAGATTGTTCAAAAATACTTGTGTTCCACGCTAATCTCAGTGCCTCTTACCTCATACTTGTGTTCCACGCTTATCTCAGTGCCTCTTACCTCATACTTGTGTTCCACGCTTATCTCAGTGTCTCTTACCTCATACTTGTGTTCCACGCTTATCTCAGTGCCTCTTACCTCATACTTGTGTTCTACGCTAATCTCAGTGCCTCTTACCTCATACTTGTGTTCTACGCTAATCTCAGTGTCTCTTACCTCATACTTGTGTTCCACGCTTATCTCAGTGTCTCTTACCTCATACTTGTGGTAAGTCTGCTGGCTGAACACTTGTGACTCATACTTATGTTAGGTTTGTTGGCTAAAGCGCCTGTGACCACATGCCTACGTTAAGCTTGGGAGCTCAACTGCAGTGGCAAAACGCTTGTTTTAAGCTTAGTAGCTTAGCAGCTGTAACCACACTCTTGTGTTAAGCTTGGTAGCTTAGCGGCTGCCACCACATGCCTGTGGTAAGCTTGGTAGTATAACGGCTCTGTCCATACGCCTGTGTTAAGCTTGGTAGTTTAACGGCCGGGACCACACCCTTGTGTTAAGAATTGTAGCTTAACGGCTGTGACCACACGCTTGCGTTAAGCTTAATAGCTTAACGGCTGTGTCCATACGCTTGTGTTAAGCTTGGTAGTTTAACGCCTTTGGCCACACGCTTGTGTTAAGCTTGGTAGCTTAACGGCTGTGACTACACGCTTGTGTTAAGCTTAACGGCTTTGACCACAAGATTGTTTAGGTTCACTTCCTTTGCTGAGTTAGGTCTGACGGCTGTGGTCCCACGTTATCGTTAAGTTTATTAGCACAGATTAGGTGTGGGGTCGTTACAACGTTATTGGTCCATGAAGAGAAAATGGACAGTGCCGTCTTTGGGGGCCTAAATTATTTTCCTACATCAAAAAAGAGCGGTATTTGTAAAACAAGACGCATATCTTCAACATTAATAGTAAATAGATATACATGTCGCAACTCCTATCCTCAAGGACGCAACCTTCGTATGTCGTCCCTCACTGGCTGGTGCTGCCTTCAAGTTAACAACATCACCTGCAACAACTGCAGCAGTCGCAATAATTCCAGCAGCCGCAATATCCGAAAAAACAATAATGGCAGCAGCTACAACAATCGCAGTAGCAGCAACAATTGCTCCAGCAGCATTAGCAGTGACATTAAAAAATATAGTAGCGACAGAAATAATAGGCATCAGAAAAAAACAGCCATAACATGAGCTGTTAAAAAATCAGCAAAAGCCACAAGAAAGAAATCAGCAATAACAGTGGAAGAGATTGCCGCAGTAACAGATATAACGTTGTGGTAGTGGTAGTAGGAATAGGATAATTACTAGTACAGGATGAGTATTACATAAGAACGTAGGAAGGAACATTGCAGCAGGCATACTGACTCATGCTTAACAGGTCTAATTCACACCCATCCTCACTCACTCATGTATCTCTCCAACTTATATATAAAGCTAGCCAAATTTCTTACATCATTGAAGCTATTTGTTAGTTTACTCCAATCATCTAACACTCCTTTCCAAAACGAGTATTTCCCAATATTTTTTTCTAAATATAAATTTCTCCAACTAGAATTCATTGCTGCAAGTTCTATCTTGGTTAGTCATTTTCAACACGCTTTTTATATCTCATTTACTAATTCCTGTTTACGATTTGTACACTTCGATTATATCTCCCATAATTCTACACCTTTCCAAGGAGTACAAGCTCATTGTCTTCAGTACATTTCTGTAGGAAAGGTTTCAAATACATTTAATCATTTTTGTCAACCTTTTCTGTATATTTTCGAGAACAGATCTGTGCAGCGCAATTTAAATGAGGTAGAACTAAATATATATAAAGCTGAAGTTAAAGCTTAGGTCTTCTATTAGCTATACTTCTTAATATGAAGTTAAAAATTCTGTCAATTTCGTTGTGAACACTTATGGGTTTAAATTTCTGGTAACCAGATCTCCTAGATCTTTTTCACATTTATTCTGACGTAGATCTACATTGTTTAGCTTATAAATGTCATTTATTTTCTTTTCCTACAGTTATTTGCATAGAACAGCCTCTGCCACTTCTCCGAGCACAACAACAACAACCTATCAAGGTCATCTTGTAGCTTTCCAGTGTCCACATCAGAAATTTTTTGACGGCCAATTTTAGCGTCATCGGCAAACTTCTTATGACGCTATTATTTCCTCATCAGGATCTTTTATGCAGATTGTAAACAAGGGTCCCAAAACTGATCCCTGTTGCACACCATTCGTAACAGGTTCTCATTCCGATTTCTCCCCATAAAAGCAAACTCGGTTGTCTATCGGTCAGTTATGCCTCGATCCAGGAGATAAGGTCTCTTATGTTCCAAGTGCCGCTACTTTCTTAATCAGTGTCTTGTGATTAACTTTATCGAATGTCTTATTCAAGTCTATATTCACGATTTCTAACTCTTTATCTTGCTCTACAACCTCTAACAACATCTACAACATCGAACATATTTCCCATCCTCATAGGACTTACCATTCTTATCTTAATGAGATTATAATTTCCCATTCTCTTCCCTAGGAACTAGAACTTCATCCTTACATCCCTTAAATCTGCTTCTAGAACTGTAAAAACATTCATGGAAGCTCACTGCAGAACCCAGCGTGTTGTCTTGTGTTTAAACACTTCACTCAAAATTTCCTAAGAAATTCACACAGGTCCACACAATTTACATTTACCACTGACATATTTAGCCTATATAGTCCTATATTTTTTTCTACTGTTTGTATATATTATAGAATTAATAGTTAGGTAATAATGTCACTCACCTGGACTGTGATTAAAAGTTTTCAAGTGAATTTGATATGTGGAACTTGTCAGCTGATGGTAGTTGCCAGACTCACTAGTAAAAATGCTTATTTTTTCCTTTCTAGTTTTCCTATAACTTTTCTTCTATTCATTTCTTAAACATACCGTTGATATACTTGGAATTCTATGAAAAAATAATTGTGCAACCATATTTTAAAAAATGCAGTCCTGAAGACTTAAATTTTCAATTTTTTTTTTTGTTGTAACCAGTTATTGGCTGCCTTTTTTGTACATAGTTGTATATAGTTCCACTGTCTTTAAATTATGTATACATTAAAGATACCCAGATTTTGCATATGTGTCTAATTTTCAATACACAAATAACCCGCACGTCGCCGTAAGCTCCTCTCTCCTATGTGCAGGTTATTTGCGTAGCATGATAAATAATGAGGGTGGCTCTATAATGAGTGTAGAGGGGCACGGGGTAGATACTGGAGGCTCTACACTGTGAGAGAGGGTATGGAGGTAGAAGAGTAGTGCTGCTATGAGAAAAGCGAAATGCCTGGCATAAGAGGTGGTGAAGCCAGTGAGGTGGTGACCGAGCCTGGCACATCAGCCGGGTACCACCCTCTTTGTCACCTCCTCGCTGCCTCACATTTGCCTAATGGGATTTGCAAATCGAGGACCATTTTTCCCCGACACTACTCACCAGAACAGGTAATTTTCACATCCAATAAGGCTTAGCAGAGACACAGTCGCTTAATGTTACACAGAATTTAAGGGATTAATCTCAGAATAAACGGATTATATTTCGGAAGACAAGTTCTGTACTGCTGCAATTGATCTGTGCTGCTATTTATTTCTGGGCAACAAAATATTAAATATAAGATTGATTTGCATATCTTTCATTATTTTATTCATACTGTCTCTCTCTCTCTCTCTCTCTCTCTCTCTATATATATATATATATATAATATATATATATATATATATATATTATATATATATATATATTTATTTATTTATTCATTCTCGCATCATTGAAAAACACGCTCAGTGCCACTGAGCTCCTGGTGTTGAAAATTTGTGGTTCAGATGATAGAATGATGCGTTCTGTGTCCTATTCTCAGAGGGCTGGGCACTGGAACGCAGGATCGAGTCCTGGCCAGTTTTAATTCACAAATTAATGTATAAGTGAATAAGATCATTTTTCGAAAACAACTACTTTTAGGACAATTCGGCTTGTTTGCCCGACTCTGCCTATAAAGCACGATACATACATCAGTTTAATTAGCGCCCCGTTATGTACACAGGTAAACACAAGCACTAATTGCAGGGTCACATGGCTCGACTCTGTCCCTTTGACCTTCAAGTCAAAAATCTGAATACAAGTACACGCATATTTGATAACATTGTCACACAACCTAAATATTGACATTTCAATCCATTCTCACACCTGGTCTGATGCTGTGATGAAATATTAATGTTTTATATGTTAAAGAAAATATATTTCTAAGTGTTAAAGAAAATACTTTTTTTAATGGCATGAACTCTTAAAAACTGATTTTTTATTTTTTTTAAGCCAGTCAGTTTTTCAGGCTAAGAACTGTTATCATACCGCAGCTCATTTCAAAGCCCAGGTCTATCTCTTCTATGCTACTACCCACTAGGATGCGACCCACAACAGTCGACTAACACCCAGGTACAGCACTTACTGCTAGGTAAACAGGGCCACAAGGTGTGAGGAAACATGCCCAACGTTTCCACCCGACTCTAGGAATTTCGCGGGGAAATTAGCGTTGTATGAGAATATCTTGCAATATAATATTTTCAAGAGTGGGCGTGATTTGTAATCCTCTTTGCGAGTTATTAAACATTCTTTTTTTACTTTTTCAGCAGGTGGTGAAGGCATTTTGGAGCGCGTGCCTCCCTCCCGGCCAGCACCCATGTGGGACCAGCCGCTACTCAAGCCTTACTTCGACAACACCACCCACAGCCGCGTCATCGGTGCCGTCGGCAGGACTGCTTACTTACACTGTCGTGTTAAACACCTGGGAGACCGTGCGGTGAGTATCTTTAATACATAAATGATAATGATTAAAGTCATGTGGAAGCTCTAACACCGTATGAGTCACGGAGCGTATATGTATTATTGCACTGGTCAACACTCATTTTCGGGTCAGTGATATGACACTAATTTTAGGGTACGTTTGTGGTGCTGACTGCGAATCTGTCATCGGTTTTGCTTGATTGGTTCTAATTTTTGAGAAATTTGGTATCCCATTGAAAAACTTAAAAAATGTGAAAAATATATTGATCAGGCGGGGCTAGATTACAAATCGCTTTGAAATTATTTTTTACATCATGAAAACAAGCAAGAAGTTTACCATCTCCAGATTAACACAAAAAACATCTTGTGCTAATGATAGCAAAGCTTTTGCAGGACCATTTTGAAATTTCCGTATTCCTTAAATTTTCTTGAGTGAGCGATTGGAAGAGATGCATATTGGTTATCATTTTGCAATTAGACACATTTAAAGCTTCGTTTGGAGATATCTATAAACAGCCACCAATCTCCTGGTCGATATTCAAGTCCCATTCGATGAAGAAGTCCAGGGGTGTTATTCCAGTATACAAACTCTTCATCTTAGCTGAAGTAAGGGAGTTCAACCTCTTTTGTCCGATAAGCTGTTATTTTACCTTCTTGTTGTAGACAGTTCTTTTCTTTTAGTTTGGATGCTTGCTTTGACAGAGTGAGGTCTTGGGAGATCTGCTGCAGTGTTGAAATGCTTACGTCGTATTCACTTCTACTGTTATCATATGTGTTACATCCTAAACTCTGAGTTTCTTCAACATCTGACAATGGAAGGTAATGCAGTGTTGTGAGCATTGGTATGGTAACGTCTTCACTGTGTGGCACAGGTCTCCTTGCTGACTCCAAATCAGGATATTCCCACTTGACTTTCATATTGAATCAAATGAAACCTTTCACATTCACCATACAGAAATAATTGTCCTGGTGGTCTTTCGGCTCTCTCCAGACTGTCGTAAGCATTTCACACAGGTTTTGCAAACTATATGAGGTGCCCAAGACTTGCCTTGTTCTACAAGATAAGCTTGTTTTACAAAATCTGTGATGTTTTTATTTGTTTTTGCAAAGAGTATTAGCCACAAATGTAGTGAGGAACTCGTTTCTTTGGAAAATATAACAAAATAAAGGTTACAATATCGTCACATGGTCGTTGTTGATAAAGCTCCTTTCGTTAAATATTCAATAAATTAAAAATAAAATCCTAGTATTTACTGAGACTATTTGTATATACAAATTGTCACAGCATATTCATATACATGCGTTATGGCTAAATTCTCTATTAACTGAGGCTAGATATGAAATATCTCATTAACTGGAGCCAATCTGAAAACCCTATTGCCATTTTCGAATTCAACAACCCCAAAATACCCTTATTACGTTCAAATATCTTTGGCAACTTAAAAAAAAAGTTTAGTTGACCAATGTTATTACTGCAGTTCATTATGTTCTTTTAACTGGTACTGTTACAGCTCTTAATGCATACTTCTGGCATTTTCTTCTGCTGATAATAAATGGAGCAGATAGTGTTCACTTGTTACTGTTCCTTATAGTGTATATTTGTGTTTCTCATTGCTACTACGTGTCGGGTATATAGGGATTTTTCATATATGAAGAGCACTTTGACTTTTGGATCATTCAGTGCTCTGAGGATTGAATCTCGTTTGTCTTTCTAAATTTAAATGTTTCACATTAAAAAGGTAGGGAGAGAGGAGGAGGGCACCGCAAAATGTTATAATGGACTCCATCCTTTTCTAGAGTCATGTAGTACGACGACGACGTGCTAGACTCTAATTTCTCTATTCTACCAAAGGCTGATGAAGCTTCCAAGTGTCCTTCATAATGAAAAAAAAAAAAGTCTCCTTAAGCCTCCAGACCTTGAACTTAGGACTGCAGCTCCTTATGCTTGAGACTTGAGACAGATAATAAGCATTCAGCAAAAAGGTTGGGCACCTTAGTATAGTCGCCCGGCAACCGTCCACGATGGGGAAGACTGAGCAGTGGGCTCAGGAAGTACTCTACAGACATCTTTCTGACCTTATTCCATATACGTACAGGAGGAAAGTGGGAGTTAATCATCTCCACATAACGGACTCAAGAAACAGGCCCTTCCTTTCAATATGCCTTGCGTTTGATGCCCAACGCTCTCTGGTATAGTATTGCTCTATTAACAATCAAACAGACTTAACAACGAGCTACCTGACCGAAGAATTCCAGCTTTCGCTGCCCTTATTAAACGTAAATAAAATTTGGATGAAAATGCAAGCACAACGTCAGGTTTCCTTGTAGCCTCACACGGAATACCAAAATCCACAATGTGGAGCACAAGCGAACCTCACTGAGATGGATAGGAACATGGACCAACATACCTAAGCCCCGGGAAGGGTTGAAGATACGTTAAAACCAAACCTGGAATTAGGAACAACTCCGCTGGTCCATATTTAGTCTCTTCAAAACACAGAGCAGAAAGTATATAGTACCGAACGAGGACACAAATGCCTTCAAGATGAGGCCAATGTCTCGAGAGTTCCAGTGCATGAGATAGAACGTCAAGCTAAAATAGGTCTAGCGAGCCCCCTCCTTGGCAACGATCATAGGAGCACTACAGGGAATGTCTTTCTGGTATACTTTTGCGGCCATGCATTTGATCATAGAGTTATCTAGAAAAATGTCAGTCCTCCCAAGGCTCAAAATGGATGGCGGTGGTGGTGGGGGAGGGGGAGGTTCCCTCCCTGAGGTTCATCTTTCAGATGAATTCCTCAGGGAGGGATAAGGCGTCTTCTTGTGAGGCTGTACACAGATACATCATCCCAGCTAGAAACATGACCAACAATCCCCAGATTTTTGAGAAGACATCATTTCACTCTTCTGTTTCTTAGAGCCAGAGAACACCCAAGATCCTTTGGAAGATGGAGTATCTACAACACTGCAACAGCTACAGGAAGAATAATAATAACATAATCAGAACTAAGCGCTAAACCCACAAGGGTTATACAGCGTTAGAAGCAGAAGACCAGCACACCTGGGTGTGATTTGAACCCCTTGTGTTCTTTTTCTGATCCTTTCCATTGTCATTAGATATAAGAATTAGATCCAGTGCCAGAGGCATGGAAGAAGTCGTGAATGCGGTACTAGACGGGCACCCATCACCAGCCACCAAATATGAACAAGTTCCAGCAGGATGCAGCAGTGAAAGCACCTTCTCATGGTAGGGGTTAAGTGATCCATGAGAAAGCAGGATGCTCCTCCTTGTCACCATGTGTTTCTACTATTTCCCCCCCTGGACAGGGGCACCCCCATAGCCTACCACCCTAAGAAACTCCCACCAGACTGTGAGCCACATTGGAGATGACAGCAGAGGTGGGACGATAATCGCTTGTACATGTGATGGCTTTATCAGAGCGCCTGGAAACTTAACAGGACGAGTCTCATCGAGGACGACCCCCACAACAGCAACGATGCTGTAGCTAAAGCTAAAATACTATTTTTTTGTGTCACATCTGAGGAATCTCACAAAGCGTGAATGGTGCACTAGACGAGGAGTGCTGCGCTGCAGCGCTGTGTTTATATGGAGGAAACATGTTTTGCAGAGGTCAATAGGAGGGCATATCATTTGCATCCTGGCTGATCTTATGTTTTGTGAGAGTCCATAAGTTGTGATGAAAAAAACCCTAATAGAGGACTAAACAGTATTAAATCGTTCTCAAACATAATGCGAATTCTTGGTCTTCTGGTGGATGAACTTTCTGCACTTGAAGAATTGCATTCACTAGGGAACATGAAGCTTAACATCTAGATCTCTCCACCCAAGTTTCATGAATATGGAATGATTCATTTGGCTGAACGTGAGAACCAGCGAATTCGAATTTATCTCCCTCTTAATCCTCTGGAATGAAACCCTGCAACTAAGCATGTACTCATAAGTCCATGCTTGGTCATCCAGTGGGCAACATTCTCCACTGGGCCACCACGATACAGTAGAAAGTCAGAAGCCTGCTTAATAATTTGTCTATCATAAGTCTGATGTTTGGTATCTGGGGAATAATAGGTTGCAAGATCTCTCAACATTTTTCTTTTAAGTGTCTCTTCAAACATTTAAACTCAATGCCCGACTCCAGCCTAACTAAAATATACCTGGGTGTGTGGTCCACTCTAAAGTCCCGCTTGATGGCCTGCACCAACACATTAGTCGCCTTCCAAAATTAGTGCATTATCAGGGCCAGGGCCAGCATCAGTGAGCGAGTTCCCGGTTGCCTCTAGCCTTGGGTAGTTGCCATGATCTATGTATGTGTAGAGGTTGTCAGGATTCCTTGTCCCAAAGGAACCAGGAAAGGTTGAAATTTAAAAAGTAGTGCTGTGCGCAGCTTAGGCCACAGTCCCAAGATAGCAATCCCAGAACAAACTAAGCAAGGCTTAGCAACACCACGTATTTAGACGGAATGCCAGAGATATTAGCAGCATTTGGATAAACTGACAAGAACACCAAAAATTGTGCACTAGCGGTCAACACTCCTGGACAAAATGTGACCTCAGGTAATACTTCTGCTGCCAAATAACTTTGAGCCAATGTGGCACTTGGTGGTTCGACAGAAGATTCAACTGCTGGTCCAATAATCTTTGGATGGTTCAGATCACCTCATCATACAAGTAATGGGAGCAAAAGGCAAAAAATAGCAGCAACATAAGCCAAATAAACAGGAGGGGGAAGTTTTATAACTTTCTGATCACGGGTTTTAACCCCGCCCGTGGTATGGTTGTCCTTTTACTACTGCTGTTAGTGTGTGCTTGTATCTGGTATTATTGTTGCCGCCAGTGTACACTTGAGCCTGGTATTACTCCTGCTCTTAGTGTATTGTTGTTTGGTATTACTGTTGTGACTAACAAATTTTATATTGAAAAACAGTTGAGCAACACCGTTAATACTTTCAAACATGATAGTAAGATTTTCTTCTTAAAAGCACGATCCAAATGGCATAC